CTAGTTTCCTTTTTTGCGAACGCGAAGGGAGTTCCATGTTACTGAAGAGTAAAATTGAGGGTGCTGAGTTTTGTCCTTCGCGAATGCGACGGGGAGGTCGCGAATGCAAAGGATGGGCTTGTGGAATCTACGCGAACGCGAGTGGGGAGTTGCGAATGCGTAGAAGAAAAATGGGAAACTGGGTCTTCGGATTTTTATCCTTCGCGTTCGCGGAAGGTGCATGCCGCGAAGGGTCCGCCTGGTGAAGCTACGCGTTTGTGAGCTGGGTCTCACGTTCATGAAAGAGGTTTTTTGGGTAGCTGGATTTTTGGCCTTCGCAAACACGAGGGCAGTGCCGCGTTCGCGAAGAAGGGCGGACCTAGGCTGGGCAGAATGTTTAAAAGTGGGGGTTTGAGTTCATTTCACCTATTTTTCACTTGGCTTGGGGGATTTTTGGAGTTTTTGAAGAAGGGGTTTCGTCATGTATTATGAGGTAAGTGATTTCTACTAGTTGTGGGTTAAATACATAGTTTATATACGGATTTAAACATGAGAAATTATTTTTGGATTTTGACCACGATATTGGGCATGAATTTGGCCACAAATTCCATCTATTTATATAGATGGAATTTGGGGTTTTGAAGGAAAGGCCTAGAAATTGATATTTTTGGATTTTGACCACGATTTTGGGCATGAAATTGAGAATAAATTATATATTCGAGTTCGTGAGGCCATGGGTAAACTTTATCTTCGAAAAATTTCAGAATAGTAGGCTCGAGGGAGATTTTGTCAACTTTTCGATCAGGGTTATAAATTTTTATAAATTGGATTGTTATGAGTAATTAAACAAATATTAATGAGTTTACATAATTGTTGGCTAGTTTTGGAGCATTGTGCATCGATTTGAGTCTTCGGAAGGACGTGAAATGTCGGTTATGGAACTTGGGAGCGAAGTGAGTCTCCTTTCTAACCTTATAAGAGGGAATTGTCCCTATATGTAAATTAATTGGATATGTGCTTCTATTTGTGGGGGCTACGTACGCACGAGGTGACGAGGGCTCGTGCGTAGCTACTATTATGCTTAAGTCCGGCTAGTCTAGGACCCAAAAGTATGCTTTACTTGCAATATTTGAAATCTTGTTGTCAATTTAAAATGCTTAAAGCATATCAAACGAGTAAATGAATTTCTAAAAGACTCGACATTGTTTCTTTATTTTTAAAAAGAGAGATTGTCATTTCCTTGGATAATTTCTCCTTGATGAATCCTTGATTGACTGTTTGAATGTGTTTATATATTGTGGAACGGGTCGAACGCCTCGGTAGATTAAATAGATGCATCTATTGTTTGCGCCATTCGACCCTCTGGCAGTGTACAGTTTAAATATTTATTGGATTGGGTCGTACGACCTCGGCATGATTTGCGCATGCTTGTGCTGTTTGGTTTGCAAATTTATAAATAATGATTTTTCCTCCCTAGCTTGAGATATATGCATAAATGATGAAAATGAACTTGGAAATTCCTTATTAATAAAAGAATTGATTACTTGCTTCATGTTATTGAATTACAACCACATTTATGGAAATTCTCGATTTACTATATTATTCGTATATTATTATTGGACCACTAGTAAGTGTCAAAGTCGACCTCTCGTCTCTACTTCTTCGAGATTAGGCGAGATACTTACTGGGTACACGTTATTTTTGTACTCATACTACACTTGCTATGCATTTTGTTGCACATGTTCATGTATGTCTAGAGGCCTAGTTCGGTGCAGCGGCATGGTTGATATGGAGACTTAGGAGAGCTGCACTCCTCGAGATGACCCGCAACCAACAGAGTCTCCTTCTGAGTACTGTATTGTATTTTCTCTACTGTCCAATTTGTATTTCGGATGGTTAGTGTATTACGTTGTTTCCTAGAAATAGCTCATGCACTTATGACACCAGATTTTGGGATAATTATGGGATTATTAAATATTAAGTTTGTTAAAGACATCATTTTATTTTACTGAATTTCATTATTTATTGTTTAATGTATAAAAGAAATAATTTCAATTAATATTAAAATGAGAATTTAATTAACTTCTTGGTGTTGGCTTGCGTGACAGTGGTGTCTGACGCCTTCACGATCCTTAGTGTATTTTGGGTCGTGACAATTATATTTCGCATTTGGTCGGTTTTATTAAAAAATATAATTACCGACCGAATTTGGTCGGTTTTTTAAAATGGCTGGCCGAATTAACTGACCGATTTCGGTCGATTTTTTAATATTAATTTTGATTTATTTTAAATGAAAAACCGACCAAAGTTGGTCGATTTCTTGAAAAATAAATTTCGCGGGACTCAAAAATAGTTTCCCGCATTTTTGCGCCAAAGACTTTGGTCGGTTTCGTAAAAACAATTAAAAAAATAAAATATTTTAAAAAATCGACCAACTTTGGTTGGTTTTTTGACCGGCTCGATCGATCATGATCGATTTTTGCCGAATTTCTAGTAGTTATCTAACTTTTACATAACCTCTCTTGTAGTTAGTGTGATTAGTATTTTCCGAAAGAAAAGTCAAAAGCTTGACTCTTAATTAACAAGGTAATTTTTATCTCTTTTCATTTATTTTCTTCACTTTTATGGATTTAATAATTTTATATGATAAGTACTATTTGCCGATACATGTTCAAATATTGTTGGATTTATACATGACACAATGATTTTCATTGATTTAGACATATAGTATAATCTGTATATGGATATCTTATATTATATGTAAATAGAGATTAGGATTATGTCGCATGTTTCTAAGATTTTTTCTTGCGTATTTCTTCAATATTTTTCATTTGTTCCAGATGAAGTATATTTATTTTGACGGAATAAATTTTAATTTCTCCTAACACACACTTTAATTTAGGCATCTTCTGCACCCGTGACACCATATTCTTAAACAATATCGTTTGATCAGTCGTACTTTATACATTATTTGTAGGAGTCGATAATATAATATATAGACTTTATACAACAACAACGACCTAGTATAATCTCACAAATGGGGTCTGGGGAGGGTAATATGTACGCAGACTTTATCCCTACCCCGAGGGGCAAAGAGGCGGTTTCCAGGAGACCCTCGGCTCAAGAAAGCAACAAGAGACGATATATTAGTAATATCAATAGACTCATAATAAAATAACATAAAATAACATAACATAACATAAAATAACAAAATAACAACAATTTAAGAAATATAGGAAATACGAAAAAGATGGAAGATATAATAATATCCAGCAAATAAAGCCCTGCATCAGTTTCTGACCTGTAGCATCCTAAGACTAACTCCTAACTGGTTAGTCTCACTCTAGTACGCTGTAGAAATATTCACAATTTCCCTTAATCTACAACATTAATGCTCGACCTCCACAATTCCCTTTCAAGGGTCATGTCCTCAGTAATCCTAAGTCGTGTCATGTCCTGCCTGATCACCTCTCCCCAATAATTCTTAGGTCTCCCTCTACCTCTCCTCGTGCCCACCACAGCCAATCGTTATCGTCTATAATTAATCAAGGCAAAATATTGAAAATATAATGAGATTTTCCATTAGGTGTGGAATGTTTAAAGTGCCAAATTTTGATCAATGAAAATATTCCTGAAATTTAATGATTACGAGTTCGTAATGCTTTTTTTTTTTCTTTTTTTTTTTTAAATTTTTGATTCTGCAACGTCCTTTTTTAAGATTTCTTTTAAATTTTTGTTTGAGAACTCGATTTTGTGCTCTACCACTCCTCAATCTTATTTTGTTTTCGATCTTGTTTTAGATTCTCTTTCAGTAAGTTTTTATTTTTCTTAAATAACAATGAGATCTAGAAGAGAAACAAACTTTTCCACGACCAAAAATCTTCTGTTTAAACAAGAATTTTAGAGAAGCATAAGATAGTAGTATTATCGTACTCCTAATTTAAAGTATCTCTAGACCAATATCTCAATTGTTTTCCGTTAGCATATTATTTAGGTATTTCTTGTGAGTGGAGATCATCTATTTGTTTTCCTTTTTTACTTATACAGTTTGTTATATTTTTTAAAGGACAACATGCAAAGTAGTTTAATTAAATTCTAAAAGATATAAAAGGCGCATGAAGTTATGAATCATTGTGGAATATAATTTGAGTGAATACTAGAAGTATTAAAGCAGACAATTAAAGATTAAATTATTTTTTAAAATAATAATTTTATGTTGGATAAAAGTATAATGCTTAGATTTTTTAAAGAGTTTAACCACTGACAGTATAAAGAGATTTCATAAAAAAGTAAAATTTGTAATCTTGAACCAAAGTTAAGCTATTAAAAGTCCAGTAAATATTAGTATAAGTTTAAATTATTTTTTAAATACTAATCCCCTTGCAGAATAACATTGCAAACCAAATGAATTAGTGTAGACTTACAATTATAAAGTCAATTCCTTTTCATGGAACAATAATGTATTATGATAAGGACTAATCCGATAGGAAGATACAGTGCAAGTCTTCAACTGTGCTCTCCCTTTTCTATCCCTTATATTGGTATTACTTTTATTTTTGGCATCAAAGCCGATACTTTTAACAAATCGGATTCTTTTGGCATAGCAAATTGTGTTTTGGGATTTTATTTTGCCGTGCGACTAAAAATATTTATGACCCTTAGTTAATAAACATATATTATAAACTAATAATTTATAATATATATATATCAGTCGACTATTATTTTGGAAAAATAACTAATTAAATTAATTTATCTCTTAAGTGTAGTTGTTTTGGCTTTTGGGTGGATGCTTCATGCTTTTATTTCGATTTAACTATTTACGGTAGTAGATATAATTTTCTAACGAGAATTTGTTCACAACATAACATAGTCTTCTAAATGTTATAGTTCCTTTTGAAAGACTGTAACATTCACGGAGTTAAACTTTTGGCTGGTCAATTTCTCAAATTGGTTAATAAAGCGAGAAAAACTTGCTGCAATACCGAAGAATATTAATTTTACAACTTCTTGGCTTTTGAGGCTATTCACGATCTATTCTTTTCTTTTCTTTTCATGATAAAAAGTAATGCAGACAGAAATGACTAATTGATTTTAGAGCAAAATTCATTTATAGCCCATCGGCCCAAACATATATCATCCAGTAGCCCAAAAATTGCAGTATGCATTTTATAGCCCAAAAGTAATTCTAGTGGCTAGCCTAAAAGTACTTAACTAAGAGACTCAGATCTGCAAAGACAGGTCGCAGAAAGAGAGGCGACTACGCCATGGCTGCAAAGACAAACCTCATTGCCGATCTTCGTAGATGCTCCGCTGCTTCAATCACCGCCATCATCGACTGTTTCAACCCCATCAATTATAGTTTCCAATTCCGAAGCTTCCCTATCAACAAGCAAAGAAACGTTCCGGTGTTAATTAGGCTAATTTACCTTCTCATCTCTTTTAATCTCTGATTTTAGCTTTTTCAATTTTTCCCCTTGCTCTGGTGTTAATTCTTGGCCTATTGAGTAATTAATTGTAGGAAAGAACATAGTAGGTTTAAAACCAACCATTGATTTGTGAATACCTTAGGAAAGAACTGGGATTTTTCCATGTTTGAATCATATAAAAACTTCCTTTTTCCATCTTCTTTTTCTTTGAAGAAGTTGGTTTTGCTCTTGCCAAACACAACGTTTTAATATTTACAAGAGTTGGGTTGTTTCTTCCCTTTTCTTGTCGTCATTATTGTCACTCCGGCCTTTTTTTATTCCAGAAGACGTGGGTAAGAGGGTTAGAGGAGTGTCTTATTCATATGCTAATGGTATCACGGATTTTGTTGCTTTTTCATCCCTCAATACTCCGTTCGAGATTAAGATTATATTAGTAAATTGCACTATGTAAAAAGGATACACAAAAGCGCTCAGGATACATTTATGATATATTATGGATACATTGCAAGATGCACGATACACTCTATATATAAAATTTATGCAATGTATATACTAAATAGACTGTCACTATACAAAAAATATACTAAAATAGATTGTCACTATACAATTTATATACATTAGACCATTACTATACAAAATAGACTGTCACTATACAATATATATACCCTAGACCGTCATTATACAAAATATATACAAAATCTGTCACTATGCAAAATACAAAATATATACAAAAATAGACTGTCATTATACAAAATATACAAAATAGACTGTCACTATACAAAAAATATACAAAATAGACTGTCACCATACAAAAAATATACAAAATAGACTGTCACTATACAAAAAATATACAAAATAGATGTAGCTATATAAAATATATACAAAAAAGACTGTCACTTTACAAAAATACATGATACACTCCAAATACACAGTGTGCACACATTACACATACAAATTGTATATAATTTATATACACTATGTTTACATATTAGAAAATACACATTATATACAATTTTGATACATTGTTCAGACAAACTATATATTCATGATACAAAATACATTTGGGGTACACAAATATATACACTTTAGATACACAAGCACACTCGAGATAGGCTCAATATACACTAAGGATACACTGTCGAACTTAGGATACAATATTTATACATATATATGCGCACACACACTTTATACATGTATATATGATTGAACTTTTCTCAACTATTGTTTTTCCACTTATATGATTGAAAAAGACTAAGTCGAACTTGGAAATTAACTAAAGAAAGAAGATGAAAATCATCACCAATTATGTGTGAGAACTCCTAAGAAAGAAAATATTTTGGAGGGAAGGGAAAAAAGGATTGGCGTGTGGTTTATTGTAAAAAGAGGTTTCATTCCTTTGTTTGGTTATGGAGCAACACTTGATATTTTTTTAAAGCTGATGTAAGAAGTCTTGATTTTTATTGTTTTCCATTGAATCAAAGACTTAATTGTAATGTAATAAGGTATTACTAGTTGGAAAAATAGTAAAATAATTATTTGCTCATGAAAAAATCTTGATTTTTTTTAATAACGTTTTATGTTCAATCAAAGATTTTTAGTAGTACTGTTAACAGAAATAAAGTGGGGGAAAAGGTGTTAGGAATTAAACGAATTGAAGAAAAGAAGTAAAAAAATATAGAAAAAGTAAAAAGTCAAAGGTGATACCTAAGAAAGAGAAAATAATTTGGTATTGGGAAGGAAAAATATCTGGGGAAGATAAAAAAGTAAGAAAGAGAAAACAATTTGGTATTGGGAAGGAAAAATATCTAGGAAGATAAAAAAGTTAGTACTAAAATTTACTTTTGTCTTTTATCTGTTGATTTTATCTACAATTTGATATTAGTTTTATTCGATCGGACATTTCGAGTTACGTGCAAAACCTTGGGCTAATACTTTTTTTTCAACGGCCATACAGGGTAGTTTTCTCTTGAATTTTCATCTTTGTTTTACCGTCATTACTGAATCTTAATATAAAAAAATAACTTTTATATACCTTAATCATTAAGGCTTAACTAAATTAATTTTTTGCATCTCAAAGGAAAATATTAAGTACGTAATGTTGCATTTTTAACATGATTTTACAAATTTAGTCGCAAATTATGTGCATTGAAAAATGTATAGTTCCATATTGCCCTTTATGATTGTATTTACACTTTATTAGTGAGTTGGTTTGGACTATAAGTTGTATTCTTTTTTTGTTTTTAGTTTTAAGGAACTGATTATTGGCCTTCGTATTATATATATTCATTAACAAGTGCTTTTAAAATATTTGTGCAATTGTTTGTTTATTACTTTCGATATGCGTGTTATAATATGTGAAATATATGCACGTACACAGAGACTAATACTATATTAAAAGTATGAAACCCCTTAGTGAAATGTTGTTCGGCTCTTTTACCCTTTAAAAACATATTTCATATTGGACAATAATTGCAATTTAATTTATTTTATTAAGGACTTTAAAATTAATTAAAATTTCTATTTACTCCTAATATTTAGGAATTTTAGATTGACTAAGATTTTACTCCCAATTTTATCTAAATTTGGTTTGGTTTGGTTTCGTCCAAATAATAAAATTTAAACGTTGGAACTTCATTTGGAAAGTTATTTTTTGTTAACATCTTTTCTTTACGTATATGACGATTGGCCATTGGAATAATGTGATGAACCACCATGTCATCATGCCACATAGGCGCCATTTGGCATATATTAATGTCATATGGAAGCTTACATAAGAAGAATGCTAGCATTTGTAAGAAGATTCTAGAGAGGTATGGACATTTCCTTAGGAAGAACCTAGATCCTTATGGATTTGCTAAGAAAGTCCTTGGAATCTTCTAAGCTTGTAGAGAATTTTAGAGAAAACCCTTATCTTGTAAATATCAAGGACTTATATAATAATTAATATTTACACACTAGTCCCTAGGAGACTAGTATATAAAGGGGCCACTTATTTGTAATTCACCAAGCAAACATTTCAAGTTCTCTCTAATACAAAGCTTCCTTTAGCAATTCTCTTGTGTTCTTTTTTCCATTCTCTTAGAGATCTTGAGTGTAGTAAGGCTGGCTTGGCATAACAAGAACGTGAGCAAGTTGTGCAAGATCGTGAGCGAGTTGTCAAGTGCTGCACGTGTACTTAGTTAACAACTAAGGACGTGACAATGTGGTATCGGAGCCGGGTTTCAATTAAGGGAATGACGAACGACGGAGAAATTAACGCTGCCAACACCCAAGCCAACGTCATCCAGGATGCTACTGGCAAGAGCGGCTGTAGAAAAAAGAGGAATGCCACCAACAAGAGCCAGGAGGTGCCACCTGAGGTTGTGTCAAACGAATTGCTTACATCCCAAGAACCATCTGCCACTGAGGCAAGCGAGGATGAAGTGGAGGTCTTTCCAGAGGCAGTCTCGCTCAGTAAAGAGTGGGTGATGAAGATGAACGCGAGGATGGACGCCGTGGAGATCTTTGGCCAACGCTTGGGGGAAGGTGGAAGACACCTTTAACGTTCTTGAGGGGCACACTCTTGAAGAGATTGAGAGTATCCAAAATGACTTGGAGGGACGTACACATACTGAGATGGAACTAAGACAAACCATCACTGCCTTAGAGTGCAGATTCATGGAGGCTTTTAGTACTATCGATGCTGTGAAGGCAAAGATAGAGTCACTCGAGGAGCATGTCAATGCTGGCGTGACCGAGGCAGCTAGCAATGTTATGGTGACGAGGGAGACCAAGATCGAGGCTCCCAAACCCCCGGTGTTCAAAGGTGTTCGTAATGCACAAGAAGTGGAAAACTTCATTTGGTACTTGGAGAACTACTTCAGGCAGGGCAAAGTGAGGGACGACGAGGCCAAGATCAATATTGCAGTATTGTACCTCTCAAAGACTGCCATGCTATGGTGGATAAGGAAGATGGCCGACGTAGATAAAGGTCTATGTACTATTAGCACACGGGATCAGTTCAAAGCGAAGTCCAAGCGACAGTTCTTTCCAAATAATGCCTTGTACGAGGCAAGGCACAAACTTAGGGAATTGAAGCAAATAGGGAGCATACGTAACTATGTCAAGGAGTTCACTACCCTTATGCTTCAAATCCCCAACCTGACCAATGATGACTTGTTGTTCCACTTCATGGATGGGTTGCAAAATTGGGCTAAGTAGGAGTTGCAACACCAACAAGTCACTGATATAGACCAAGCCATAGTGGAGGCCGAATCATTGATGGATTTTAGGCATGACAAGCACGACAAAGGCAATGGCAAGGAGTCAAAGGCTAACAATGTCAAAGGTGGGGGAGACCGTGGCAAAGGCAAGGAGATACAACAACAATACTCCAAGACTCAAGATCCCAAAAAGTCGAGTGGTCGTTAGGGCTATGCCGAGAAGAAGGCACAGGCCGAGAAGAAGGGATGCTACATATGCGGAGGGCCACACAGCTTCAGGAATTGTCCCGACCTCAAGAGCCTCAGTGCCATGGTCCGTGAACGGAAGGAGCAGCCGCAAGGAGAGAGTTCGGGAACCGCACAGTTGGGTATGATCGGATTATGTGGTGCTTTCACAAATCAAGATATCCAACCTACCGATAATGACACTCAGTACGTGGATCTCACCATCAATAACAAGCCCACTCGTGCAGTGGTGGATACTGGAGCAACTCATAATTTCGTAACTGAGGCTGCCGCAAAGAGACTAGAATTGAAGCTTGCTCCAACCAAGTCTCGCGTCAAGACCATGAATGCCGAAGTACAAAATGCTCATGGGGTAGCTAATGGAGTTGGTGTCAAATTGGGAGCTTGGAAAGGTATGACAAAACTTTACCGTAACCGCTATGGATATCTTTGACATCATACTAGGGAAAGAGTTCTTTAGACATTGTCATACTTTGATCGACCCCTACCTCCAACGTCTCTTGGTTATGGAGCGAGAAGGAGCTTGCATGGTACCTACAATGACTATGCCACACATACAGAGCCAAGAACAACTCTCAGCTATGCAGGTTGTCAAGCAGATCAAGAAGGGGGAGCCGACGTTCGTGGCAACCATTGCAAGTCTAGAGGAAGACAAGAATTT